ATAGGCGGAACGTCTGTGGGTACGGCGCTTGGGGGAGACAGACCAGAGGGCGGAGTGAGAGGTGTCGTGTCGGACGCAGGAGAGAGATGCACGGTAGGCGAAAGACCTAGCAACGACAGCAGAAACCTCCACGGACCGCGCCGCCGGAGCGGCGGTAGAGTCCGCGGGAGGCAGAAACGCGGAAGCTCAGTAAGGTGTCTTGCCGTGGTCCAATGCAGAGTGCGGCTGGCCGCAGGCTTTGCCGGAGGGGAGCGGGACCGGACAGCCATGCACAAACTTGCAGTCGGTCTTAGTGCACTTGCCGACTGCGAAGCGCATGCAAGCCTCTTTGTCCCCGATGGTCTTGCACCAGGACGGGTCCCAGCCTTTGGGAGGCGGGTTAGCAGCAGTTTTGGCCTTAGCCGCTGCCGCTTTTGCCTTGGCCTTGGCCGCGGCGGAATCCTGACCGGACGTGTCGTCGGTCAGCTGGCGCTTTCTGCCCAAACCTTTGCCATTTTTCCCATCAGCGGACGGCGGAGGCGGAATGCGCGGCGGGCGGGGGCGGGGCTGGAGCAGATTCGACATCTCACCCCGACAGAACGCGATTTCACTAAGTGCATCGGGGAGACTCCACTCGTGGTCACTCGTCAGCTCGTAGACGGACGACCACACCGCCCTGTCCGCGTGAAGGATCTCCTGAAGAGTGGGAGAACGAAGTGCCTGATCGAGGGGAGCCGCCAGAGCCAGGGACAGAAATTTCTCGTGAAATTGCTTTATGGTCGCAAGATGCACGAGATCTAACATGGCCAAGGCGGTAGCCAGCACGGACAGTGCCCGACGCAGGACTGGTTCCGGATGGCCCTGCATATTGACCGAGACCGACGGTCCGGGGGGCTCGGGAACGTCATCCAGTAGCTGTGACGAATGAAAGAGCGGTCGTTGCGGGGCTTGCGCGACTCTTCCCAGCGGGCGGCATCAGCAAGACATGTGCGCAGGCACCACGGGACCCAAAGGGAAGCGGCAGAGTCACTGTGCTGCTTGAGCAGGGAGAGAAACTCCAGAGAAGGAGTAGAAGAGGGAGTCAAGAGCTCCCCCGGGTACTTGGCCATGAAGTCTTTCTTCAGATGGGCGAAGTCTGTGGGCTGCAACTTGGCAGCCGCGGAAGAAGAGGCAGGCGGCACCGGCAGACCCAGAGAAGAAATCCCTGGGGTGACGCGTGGCGGTGCAGCCAGGGCGGTCTCAGATAGCAGGCGGCGGATGCAGGCCGCGTCCGCTGAAACGAGACCAGCCGCAACGGCGTCCTCTGACAGGCCGAGCAGAGTACGGAGAAAAATCTTGACCTCGTCGGGATCAGACGGATCCGCCAGAGCGTAGGCCAAGGAACTGAGCGAGGTGTACCCCTTTGCCGCAAGGGCAGAGCGTACGGCCGCGGAGGCAGCGAGCTGCTCCAGCAGGGCCGCGAGCGCCGCCGGATCATCAAGACGCGGGCGGGCAGCCATGAGCCAGGGGCGAGAAGGGGGAACCCGAGGGGGAGGGAGCGAAAAGCAAAAAAAGAAAACGGCTGCGGCGAGCACAAGACAGAGGCACAACCAGCACCGAGAGGCCAACAGAACAGCGGCGAAACGAAGACGCACTGTTTTGATAGGCCCGACGCAAGTGGCTCCGACTGCTAGTAGCCGTGCTCCCGGTGGCAGCGGGCGCAGGCGTGTGTGCGATGACCCCGGCCCCGGATAGGGCGACCACAGAGACGGTCGCAGTCCGGATTGATACACGGAAGCATGCAGAGGTCTGGCGGGGCATAGTGCCGAGGCACCGTGTGCATGCCCAGGACCCTGCCACGGTCGCGTCCCCTCGAGGGCATCGACGGAGGCGGTGGGGGCGTCCCGAGGACGCGCTGCATGCGTGGATCGAAGGCAGGACCGGGAGGCACCAGAGTCCGATGCTCCAAGGCAGACAGGAGAAACAGCAGACGAGCCCAGAGCTCCGGGGGGTAGTAGGTCAGGGAATCCAAAATCTGCCCATCGGACGCCTGCGGATTGAGCCACAGGGCATACGGGTTGCTGGGGCCTCCACCGTCCGTGCTGCAGCGGCGAAGTGGATCGGCCGGAGCAGGCGCGGGAACAGAGCTAGACGGGTGCAACATCGAACCAGAATTAGCAGAGGAGGGCGCAGACGACCAGGGAGTGACCACAGGCGGTTCACCCCGAGGGGACGGATCCGGCTCCTCCACAGCTTGAGCGGGTTGAGCCGACGGGCCAGGCACAGGCATGGCGTGTCCGTGTGCCAGCGGTGACGGTGAGGGCGGATCCAGCGCCGTGGATTCCAAAGCCGGGGCGTCCATGGGAGCATCCGCCGGGCTTGCGTCCGAGAGATCCTCAATAGGATCAGAGACGGCGGGAGCCGCCGCGGCGGGGGAGACCGACTCGATGGGGTCCGACGAAGGCATGGCAACGAGCGGACGACTGGACGCGACGAGGCGGCAGGACGAACCGAAACGGCTGCGGCAAGACAGACCGTCAACAGCAAGGACCATGCACACAGCAGACCCTCGCACCGAGACCCTTTGTTCGCGCACACTCCGCTGGTCACAGCAGCTTCAGGCGATGAAGGCAGCCGGTGCGCAGGCACAGCGTGGCCCCCTTAGGGAAAACAGAGAGGAAGCTGTCCGGCGCCAACTGGGAGGTTCTGGCCCCGCAGATCGGGCGCATCCAGACATCCTCGCCGGAGTCAGAAGAGTAAAGTTTGGAGCGGATAGCCCGAGGCTCGGTGGCCACAGCAATGTGGACCACGTTGCTTCGGGAATTCCAGAGATAACCTCGGGCCTCGAGGGACGCAGACGGGGGAGGCGGAGGCGGGGCCGAAGTATCTGGCGCAGCGGCATCCCCCGCCAGAGCCGGACACTCCTCCTCCGAGGGAGCCTCACTGGATTCGGAGGACAAAGACACGAGGTCCTCTTCTTGGTAGAAGCAAGATCCGCCGAGGTAAGAAGAGGAGGAGGAGGAGTGGGGGCCGGCAGTGGGCGTGAGGCAGAAGGCAGATTGACCGGAAAGTCGGGCAAGGGTTCATCCAGGCCGCGAGCAACCGGTTGCAGTGGCCGGAAACCAGATCGCAGAGCAAGGACCAGTTGTCTCTGGAAACGCAGCATCGGAATAATATCGTTTTTGGAGTAAAGAGAGACAGACTTGTCGGAGCCAGAAAGTCGGTGGTGACCTCGGATACGACGAAGTTCAGACTCAGACCCCAGTTGACGGCCCCAGGCCAGTAGTGTACATTTGAGAGAGTGTGCCGCAACAAGGCCAAATGCTGCCGGAGGCGGTGACGCGGAGTGAAGATGCCAGTGGCGGAGAAGTAGGCCACGCAGCCACAGAACCATCTTCTCGCGTTTCAAAGGACCGCCCATGACCGGACGAGCTTCGGAGCCGGACAGGGTGGAGGGAACAAAATCCAGTGAGCGGCCCGGGCAGAGGCGCATGGTGTCCGCAGCACATTGAGAAAGGGTGCTGAGGAACCGGAGCGCCCACGAAGCGGAAGCGGACCCGAGAAGACCACAAGAGAGGACGCCGAACGGCATGCCTCTTTTGGTGGTTTTCGTGCGGAGGCACGTCCCCACCAGCGCCGAAGCTTGCGGTTGATAGTGAAGACGGCGGGGAGGGACCCAGAGAGCATCTCCCCAGCGCAGGCTAGCCCAGATGCAGAGCAAAAGGTAGCCTACCCTGAGGATTTCGGCCGCAGAAGCGGACGGATCCAACACCAGAGACTCGAGCCAGACAACAAAACTGAGGCTCAGTGACTCAGTGGCAGGCTTTCACGGTGCTCCGTAGGAGAAGAGGCAACGGAGAACGCCTGGCAGACAGGGGAGACCAGAGCCGCTTTGAGAGCTGGAAGGCCCGCCGTCTTGCAGAACCACGACAGGGCCTTGAGCTGCATGGTGGACAAGCCCTGTTTACTGGCCTGACTGCGCAGCCAATCTGGCAGCAGGCCCGGTGGCGGAGACAAGTGATTAGCCCCGGCTAAGCGACAGAAGGAAACCCAGTTGAGCCAGGCGTCAAAATAGCGCTGCAGCGTGGTAGGGGCAAACTTGGCGGCCACCCGCTGCACATGAAAATCCATGTGGGCAGAGGCAGACGCCTCCACAAAGAGGGCGCTCTCAGAGCCCATCTCCTTCAGGAGATCTGTCCAGCGGAGAAGAAGAAGGCGCATCTCCTCGGAAGCCTGCTCGGCTGAGCCGGCGACATGCCCGACGGGAGCATCCGGCAGGCGCATGAGAGAAGTGAAAGCCAGCGCAGTCGAGTTCGGCAACGCCGGCAGAGGAGACGGGGATTCAAGAGCTGGCCTGGGTGCAGACACCAGCAGAAAGCTGTCCAAGTGGCGTCGTGAGGGAGACGGGGCCGGAAATGGTCTAGACAGCGGAGTCGGAAATCCCCTGAGGGGCGGAGAGACAAGCGGAGCGGGCGCCGGGGATGGCGACACCGGCTTAAAAGCTCGAGGTCTATAGGACGCCGACAGGGTGCCTGAAGACCAGCGCGACGGAGGACGGCCCAGGCAGGACCCAGCAGTCACGGGCCGGATTGGCGAGACAAAGGACCAAGACGTGCCACTGAGACTGGAGCCCGGCAGGGAGGGACCACCGACGCGAGAGACCGACGCAGAAGGGGGAGAAGTATGCAGATGCGGACGTGGGCTGGGCGTAGCCAGCAGACTCAGCGGAGAAGCAGGCGCTGAGACAGAGGGCGGCCCGCTGGGACGAAAGCCAAGCGGAGAGTGCACAAAGTCTGGAAGCGGAGAAGAGCCGACACCGAGGGCAGACAGGCCCGGGTCAACCCCACCGTTGAGCGCGCTATCACCAGATTGAAGAGGACCAGGTGGACCTGTCTCGAAGAGCACCAAGTCGGGGTCCTGAGCAGACAAAAAACGACAGTAGAACCAGAACCAACACAAAGCAAAAGCAGAGGCCTGACATGGGCGCACTGTTTTACACAGACCGCTAAGCGGCAAGTAAAGGTCGGCAGGCGGACGGGCAGATGCCGACCGCTGCAGAAGAGAAGACGGCGGGCAGAATCATGAAGATTCAGCCGGCAGAAGCCGACTCCGACATGCCACCGGCACGGTTCTTGGAACCCGAGACGGGCACCCTGGCCGCTTCTGATGATCCCAAGGCCTCCGCCCCGTCTCCGCCGTCGGCTGCGTGGAGTGATATCGTGGCGTTCCTTGATAATCCGGAACCGGCCATGGCAGCTGCTTTTTCGTCTCTGCCGACTTCTGATCTGCTCCGTCTCAGTGCGGGTACTTTGTCTGCCATTTCCGCCAGGCTGGCCTGGTACGATGGCAGCACCGCCCCCGCTCTGCCTCCGGTCATTCCGACCCCGCCTCCTTCTGTTGGAGGTCGCACGGGTCCGCCGGTGAAGGAGCCTCCCGCCAAAGGCGCAAGTCAGGCAGCAGGTCCGATTCCGCAGCAAAAGGCCTGCCCTTTGCCGCATCCCAAGCTGAACGCCCCGCCGGCCGCTCCCGTCCGCGCCAACCCTTTGGCGGACGTTGCTTCCGGTAGCAGTCGCACCCGCAGCTGCGCCTGAGTCGACCGGTCCGCCCGCTCCCCCGTGGCCGTGCTTTTGATCCCAATGACTTTTGGGAGGCCGGGTGGGCCGCACAGCTCGACCCACGCAGTCTGCCTCCGGACACCTACCGGTGGGTCGATGTCACTCCGCGTCTGCCACCGCAGCTCAGCTCTTCTCCCTGGAGCTCCAGGGAGGGTTGGCAGATCCGCGTGAACACTCCGACAACCGCCGGAGTGTGGCACAGGCCGAATTGGCGGCCTTTTCCGGATCTGTTTTGTCTGCGTCCGGACGAGCACCCGGACTACATCACTCCGTTGGCCCCCGCAGAGCCCTTGCAACACCTCGCTCTGCGAGGTTACTGCACCCACATCTGCACCCGCCTGGCCACGAATTCCCAGGGCAACAGGTGCCTCGGAATGTGTCTGCGTCCGATTATGGTGGGCGAAAGGTCCGGCCATGATGGACACACCTGCTTTCACTGCCTAACAGGCAGGTGAGCCATCTGTCCGTCTCCGCTTCCGCTCTGCGTCCGATGCCGTAAGTGCTCGGCTGCTGGGCTGCCTCTGGTCACGGCCTGCCCCCCTTTTTTCAAGCATCCGTAATCGAGGGCGTGCCTCTGGTTCCCCTCTTCCTTCTGCGGCGCAACCGGGACGTCGGTCTCGGAAGCGGCGTCAGCGACAGAAGTCGGCGACCGCAGCGGAGCCGGGCCGGGAGCGGAGCCCTCTGCAGGACGCAGAGGGTGCGATTCCGAGGTGGAGTCAGAAGGAGAGGGCTCGCAGGGCCGGCGGTCCGCAACGGGAGCAGATGAAGCCGTCATCGCAGGCGGACAAAAGGAGAGGACGAGAAGGGGGCACGGCAGACGTGAGCAAGACGGCTGCGGCAGAAAACACGTCCCTCAAGAGCAGAAGCAACTGCAAGTACAGACAGACCTGACGCAGAGGAGCAAACAGTCCTGCAGCGCCGGAGGGTCCAATATCCGTAAAGAGGGAGAACGTGACCGGCGACCTGATAGACAGGTGCACCAGAATAATCGGCAGACGGCAGCGGTCAGAAACTGAGCCGGCTGCGCGAGACCGATGAGGAAGAGCTCGGACCTGAGTGGCAGAAGGTGCACAAGCCGTGTGGTCAGTGAAGGCACTGAGCCAACGACGGCGACGGTCACGAGAACCGGAAGAGCCTGGCGAATGAGCCAGACTGGGAGAAGGGAACGGACAGACGGCGGAACCTTTTGAGAAGGGTAGAACAAGCAAGGGAGCGGAGGCAGAGAAAATTCCATTCTGGCCTCGAGCCATCCGGGAACGGGAATCCAGGAGATCTACAGAAAAAACTGCGGAAACGGATCCCCGCTCGAACCGGTGGCTTCGGCGGGGGGTCCGTTGCGTGCACTACCAAACACATCCGTTCAAGCACGGTACCATACATACATACATACATACATACATACATACACACACACACATGTTATGTGCTATGTATGTATGTATGTATGTGTGTATGTATGCATATGGCGTTAGCTAAGATTTAGGGGTTTAAGGCTCGTGTATAGTCTTCAAGTTTGGATTTGTTCGGGTTGGGATTTACAGGAATTGTAGGCTACAGAATCAAGCAGTTGGCCATCCGCTTTTGTGGCCACGCGGCGCAGGCTTTTACTTCTTGGACGGCGACCAGTCGGAAGCATCGGTTGAAGGTTTTGGATGCTGCTTTTAGGGCGTATGGTGTTGGAGGGCTTATTAGGGTGTGGCATTTGCATTTGCTGTGATGCAGGGGAGCCAGGTGCAGGGCTTCCAACCCTAAACCTTAGAAGCTGCCCCCACCCTGTAATAGTGACTATAAGGATTATTTTAGGGCCCTATTATATTCCTATTCTACCACTATTACAGGGTGGGGGCCCCTTCTAACCTAAACCCTAAAGAAGTCTCTGTGATCGATGCTCTCGGGCTGTCAGGACCGAGGGACAGGCTGCCTGTACCCTTCGTTTACACCCCGGGCTTATGCACTCTAAAACCCTGTTCGTTGAAAACGGTTACAGCTTATTGCGGAGCCTTGAAAGAGGTTTGGAGTCTTCGGAACTGGTGGGCCCCTCATGTTTAGGATTTAGGGCCTAGGGCTTTAGGACTTTTCGGGTTTGGTGATTTAGGGTGTAAGGTTCATGACAAACATTTCCGGTAAGTGTCGAGAGATCTGCTGCGATTCGCAGGTAAAGGACGTGCAAAGGTGCCTCCGTCATCCCAAAGGTTACGGCTGCGGTTTGGGGCTCTAGGGTTTCTGGTTTAGGATAGCGATAGAAATCCTGCATTACCAACAATAAGGAATACACCGTAATTCCCAGAGTCTAGGGTCCTTAAGGTAATGCAGGATTTCTATCATCAACCGTAAGCACTGGATCGGGCTCCAGGATGCGAAGATGGAGAAAGCTAACATAGGAGCCTGGATAACTAGAATAGGGTTTCGGGTTCATTATACTAAAGCCAGAATGAGGAACCCACAAAAATAGTATTGTTAAGTATTGATTAAGGCCCCTTTATGAATTTCGGGGTTCTGTACTTGCAATGTGGGTTCGGTTTAGGTGAACGATGTTTGCGGCCAGGATCTTGAGACAGGGAGAAAAGGTAATCAACAACAACAACTTGGGTACGGCCCCCATACAGTAACAGTCTATAATAGGGCTACTATTAAGGGCGTTATATATCTATATTGGAATATTATTCAACTATAACTGAGTGGGGGCCGTACCTAAGAGAAAAGGTAATCAACAACAATAGCATCCATTGCGGCTCCGAGACATTCCCCTAAGGGTCGATGTACCTAAATAGTATATGCACTGGCCTTAAAGTATTCCCTATATGGGTACATTAGGCCCAAAATATATACTATTTGGGTACATGGACCCTTAGGGTTCTATACTTTCTACAGCACAGCAGCACCCAAGAATACTCTGAGCCTAAACCCGAATCCCCAACGCCGTAATCCTTCGACAGACGGGTACTTCAGTGCAGGATACACAAACCCAACGTAAGGATCAGGCTCAAGAGACACGAAGACTCCAGGGATGACGGTCACAGTGCATTAGCTGCAGTTGCCTGCCGCCATGAGTTCCGTTGGGAAACCGCTGGCAACGGCCCCTGTACGGAGAGTGGAGCTCTCCCGTGGTGCATTATCTGGATAGACTGCAGCAGGTGGGCCACAAGTATTGCTGCAAATCCAAAGATTGAAATTCATGGCTTAGGGGTTTCGGGTTTCGGGTTTGCTGGAGATTCCGACAAAGGCGATAGTGACAATGCTTGAGGGGAACATCACTATTTGTCAACATCGTGGTATCGACAGCAACATCAACAACAACGACTGAAACTGTCAAACATGGCCCGGGTACCTCGTATAGCAACTTTAAGCCCCAGCCTGCGCAGTAGTACTACAAGCAAAGGCTGTTTTGCCTTGGACATGCGGGCTTGTGGCTGTGCGCCTCGGATCCAACCGTGATTCGGGATTTTGGGGGGCGTAGGGCTGCGGGGTTTAGCTTGGGTTAGGGGCTAGGGGTTGAGGGTTCAGGGTTTGGTTCTACGGGGAGCATGTCATGTCACATAAGACTACGTACAATTAACGATTAGCACTACCAATTGCCCTAAACCCTAAACCTTAACCGGTTTAGGGTTTAGGGTTTAGGGGGCAAGTTTACAGCAGTGTATTGGACGATATAGGATCTGGAGATCAGGATCGACCCGGCTGAGGCGTAAATGGTTCGTGTCTATTCCTGTCGCATCAGAGGACCTTAGCGGCACGTAACAGTAACAGACCCACGGTGCAGGGTCCAGGCACCGCAGAGTTGTCAAAAACAACCTCAGCCCCAACCTCAAGGAGTGCTAAGGCTGTAAAGCATTAAAAGTAAAAGGCTATCTAGCAATGCCTGGGTTCACCGCATGTGATCACATGTTCCGGCCCGAAGCCAACTCAATCTTAGAGTCTTGATGGTTTAGGGTTTATAGCGCGTGTAGGACCGAAGAGCCACAAAACTACAATATGTTATTGAGTGTTTCTTGAAGGTCAGTATTCTAAACTGTAAACTACGTCGGGTCCCTCATTTGTGGCACTTCGTACTCTAAGCCCGACTGCCTTAAACCTGTCTTTATAAGCTGGGAGGCAGCTCCAGAGGCAAGCCGAAAGGTGAGAAGGCCCCAAAGCCCTAACACGCTGCATCCTCCCAGAACCAAAGGACCCTCTAGAAGCACCGGGCAAAATAGTGATTTATATGGGCTTCTTCGTAATGAGGCTTCTTATCTATGGATCTGCAGACTATGGGTTCTACGTGAGGGTAGAACCCGGTGAAAGGCCAAATAATCCGAATTGCCCCTATCACAAACGCGAAGTCCCGAACCCTGAATCAAACCTGAAGCGCCAAGGCTGAGGAAGCTCTAAGTGTAACGTAAGGGCCTTAATAATTGAACTAGGGTTTTGGGGTACATGTGGCTATATCTGCAGTAATGAACCCCAAGGAATAATGTTGGTCATTGTTGGTCCTGTATGCTACTTAGGTTAAGATCTGATGAAGCTCTTGGGCAAGGATTCCTAAAGCCCGAGACTCTACGAGGACTCCTTTGGTTCATGAGGATCCTAGAATCCTAGAATCTGAGCTGGAAGTTGCGGGAATCCTGCAGGGGGCTTCGGACCTGTCCCGATTATGAAGTTGGGGGTTTAGGGCGTAGGGTTTACGCTTAGGGATCATAAAGTGAGTGGTTGAGGGTCTAGGGGTTTAGGGTTTAGGGTTCACAAAGTTTCGGGTTTAGAGGTCTCATAAAGTTCGGGGTTTAGGGTAAAGGGATTAGGGGGATCGTATTCGCACGGTCGCGAGTCCTTCTCGCACCATCAGGCTTCAAGGCAGAAGGCCTTTAAGGCTTATGGTGTTTAAGTCCCCCCCTGTAGGATTCCCGAAACTGCTATCGCTCACTCGCCGCCATAGACACAGTTCGGACAGCAGCCTTTTGACAGCAGGAGGCACTTAGAACATCAGGGCCTAGACAGCAGGGCGAAGGGTTTCAGAATGTTAGGGTCCCTTGTTGGTGGAGTGTCCTTGCTTTCGGGATCCTAATATTTGGGGGTGAAAAGAAAGGGTCCCGTCATATTGTGAGGCCAGCCGAGACTTTTACATTCGACGCCTGTTCTCTGGTGCTCCTTCAAAGCTTTTGAGGCCAAGTACTGCGTAATGTTGGGGCTGTAGTAGGATTGAAGTTTCGATTTGGTTTTACGAATCATACTGAGGCCTTATGGAAGTTGGAAGAAGGTTGTTTGTTCTGCTTTCCTAAAGGCGTACTCTCATTATCAGCTCTAGGGGACGCTGGATAATGTAGGGGCCTTACTAATTAGAATACGGTTCGGGGGGTTCCTTATTACAAGAATAGTAAACTATACTATACCCCCAAACCCTACAACAAACTATAAAGGCCCCTATATTATGGTGTGTCGGATGCTTGCAGATGCAAGCCTCGTAGGTGTATCGTCCGCATTCCGCTCTGCTTCAATCTACGGTAAACCCCACAAAGTTGGAAATCTGATTAAGGACAAATAGTGCTGGGATTCCTTATACATTACTCTTCAGGACTGAGGCTGTTGGGTTTCCAACTTTTGGGCTTCTACTGTAAGGATGTGGGGCACACGAACAAACCGAACATCGTGAAACCGCGAAGCAGCAATCCCCTGCGCCCCACAGCGCCCACCCTAAACCCCCCCTCTTACCCTAAACCCTACACCTTAAGCTCAGCCACCATAAGGAGCCAGAGCAATGACCAAGAAGGCGACGAGCCTCAGTAGATCTCTTCAGATGGCTTCGGCAAACCGACAGTTGGGTCTAGGGTATAGGGTTTTGGGTCCAAGGGTCCCAAGGGTTGAGGGCGTCGGCTTTCCTGTCGATTCCTGGTAGGAGTTATGATAACTGCATTAGACTA